TTGTCTTTTTTCTTAGTCTGTCACCATATAACTACACCTTGAGGTGGAGAATCCAAGGAGTCTCAGGAGTTCCTAAAGACACAGGAAGTACAAAAATCATTCTTTAGCAGTGTGGACAGGCAGACTTGACTTTGGGAGATAAGAATCCTGGAAATCACTTCTTGTAATTTCTCCTCATTCTGCTCTCATCTAAACTATGCAAATGTTCTGTTATTGTGAGAATCCTGCCACTTTCCTTGACATGGCATATATATATGGGTACAGGCTCTGTCTCTGAAAGTATAGTTCTGCCAGAAATTCAATCACCTGTGTTTCCTGCAATGGAAAGATTCCATCCCTTTGCATTTCTCTCAGTAGGAAAAAGATGCTTTAAAAATGAGTAACTGACAAAAGCAGAGTTGAGTATAAAATATCAGTAATGTACATATTCAGGGAATGTTAAACATGATGTTAAACCCAACTCCAATCCAAGAAGAGTTCATGGAATGTGGAGATGTATCAACAGTAATAGTCATCTGAACCAAGAGCTGGGTGTTACTGTGGATATAGTTTATAGTTGTGTTGCCCCAGACAAACAACTGATTTTATTCATTGATTAATTTTCTTATTTGATCATTTGATTTCTATATTCAATGTATGCTGATTACCCTCTCTCCCCCCTCTTACACCCATCTCATCCTTTTTAACTTCCTCCTCCATCTCTACTAGACCCTTTCCCAGTTCATCACTTTTTGTTTTGTTTATAATATAGCAACAGACAAGAGAAAAGTTCTTAATGTTTCATCCCAGGAAGGGTGTACAACTTGATTGGCAGTTGTTTGCTCTCAGGATGTGGAGTACACCTTTCCATGGTCTCCCAGCTTTAGAAATCTCCTATTTTCTGACAGGTTTCATTTTGCAAGTAAAGTGCCACATGACCCTTCAGTGTTTAACACCAGCATTCTTCTTGTGTCATCTGCCCTTGACATTTGTCACCACAGTTTGTTGTGTATGGGTTTATTTCTTGTCATGTCCATTTGGAACACCTCCTCTGTTTAAATATCCATATCCTCCTGTAGATCAAGGAAAATCCATGTTCTATTTCATGGAATTTTTTTCTGTGCCTTAGACTGCATCTTATTCCTATCATTTGAACATAGTATTCATAGGTTAGGTCTCCAAATTGAGTCCCACATTTCTTGTATTTTCCTCCTTTTTCTTGTTTGCTTTCTCTCACAGCTCAGGCTTTTTGGAACTCACTATGTAGCTCATACTGTTTTTTAATTCATGGAATTCTCTGTGGCTTTGCCTCTAGAGTACTGGTATTCCACATGTAAGCTAACCTGGCTGGTAGAGGAGTTTCTATCACCCTCCTAGAGACCTTTTCTCTCTTCAAACCCTGTAGATGATTCTGTGTCACAAT